CCCCATTTCCCCCATTCCCAATCCCCATTTCTCCCATTTCCCCCATTCTCTCCATTCTCCTAATTTATCTCATTTCTCCCAATTTCCTGCATTTCTCTCAGGTGCAGGTGCTGGAGGCTGCCCAGCCCTTTCCCATTCCCCCATTTTTCCCCATTTTTCCCACATTTCTCCCCATTTTTTCCACTCCAAGTGTTCCAGGCGTGGCAGGAGGTGCAGACCTAGGCCCAGGTCCTGGAGGCTGCCCAGCCCTTTCCCATTCCCCCTTTTTTTCTCATTTTTCTCACATTTCTCCCCATTTTTCCCGTTCCAGGTGTGCCGGGCACGGGCATGAGGCGCAGGCCGAGACCTAGGCCCAGGCGCTGGAGGCCGCCCAGCCCTTTCCCATTCCCCCATTTTTCCCTGTTTCCTCACATTTCTCCCCATTTTTCCCACTCCAGGTGTGCTGAGCGTGGCCCTTTTCCATTTTCCCCTTTTCCCCCATTTTTCTCACATTTCTCCCCATTTTTTCCACTCCAAGAGTTCCAGGCATGACAGGAGGTGCAGGCCTAGGCCCAGGTGCTGGAGGCCGCCCAGCCCTTTCCTATTCCTCGCTTTTTCCCCGTTTTTCTCACATTTCTCCCCATTTTTCCCACTCCAGCTGTGCCTAATGTGGTGGGAGACTGCCCAGCCCTTTCCCATTCCCCCTTTTTTTCTCATTTTTCTAATATTTCTCCCTGTTTTTCCCACTCCAGGTGTGCAGAGTGTGGTGGGAGACTGCCCGGCCCTTTCCCATTCCCCTCTTTTGTCCCGTTTTTCTCACATTTCTCCCCATTTTTCCCACCCCAGCTGTGCCGGGCACAGGCAGGAGGTGCAGGCCTAGGCCCAGGTGCTGGAGGCCACGCGGCCCTTTCCCATTCCCCCATTTTTCCCAGTTTTCCTCACATTTCTCCCCATTTTTCCCAGGTGTGCTGAGCATGGCCCTTCCCCATTCCCCCATTTTTCCCCATTTTTCTCACATTTCTCCCCATTTTTCCCACTCCAGGAGTGCTGAGCATGGCCATTTCTCATTCCCCCATTTTTTCCCCGTTTTCCTCACATTTCTCCCCATTTTTCCCGTTCCAGGTGTGCCGGGCACAGGCAGGAGATGCAGGCCTGGAGGCCTCTGGGCCCTTTCCCATTCCCCCATTTTTCCCCATTTTTCCCCATTTTCCTCACATTTCTCCCCATTTTTCCCACTCAGGTGTGCCGGGCGCGGCGGGAGGCTCAAGCCCAGGTGCAGGTGCAAGCCCAGGTGCTGGAAGCCGCCCATTGCCCCATTTTTCCCCGTTTTCCTCACATTTCTCCCCATTTTTCCCGCTCCAGGTGTGCTGAGCCTGGCCCTTTCCCATTCCAGGTGTGCCGGGTGTGGTGGGAGACCACTCAGCCCTTTCCCATTCCCTCATTTTTCCCCATTCTTTTCACATTTCTCCCCATATTTCCCCGTTTTCCTCACATTTCTCCCCATTTTTCCCGTCCCAGGTGTGCCGGGTGCGGCGGGAGGCTCAGGCCCAGGTGCAGGTGCAAGCCCAGGTGCTGGAAGCCGCCCATTGCCCCATTTTTCCCTGTTTTTCTCACATTTCTCCCCATTTTTCCCACTCCAGGTGTGCTGGGCAGGGGCAGGAGGCCCAGGCCCGGGCCTAGGCCCAGGTGCAAGCCCAGGTGCTGGAGGCCGCCCAGCCCTTTCCCATTCCCTCATTTTTCCCCATTTTTTTCACATTTCTCCCCATTTTTCCCCGTTTTCCTCACATTTCTCCCCATTTTTCCCCCTCAGGTGTGCCGGGCGCGGCGGGAGGCTCAGGCCCAGGTGCAGGCTGAGGCCTAGGCCCAGGTGTAGGCCCAGGTCCTGGAGGCCACCCAGCCCTTTCCCATTCCCCCATTTTTCCCCGTTTTCCTCACATTTCTCCCCATTTTTCCTGTCCCAGGTGTGCCGGGCGCGGCGGGAGGCTCAAGCCCAGGTGCAGGTGCAAGCCCAGGTGCTGGAAGCCGCTCGCCGTTTGGCCTCGGTGCCGGGGTTGCCCCCGGAGCAGCGGCGGCGGCGGCAGCGGCTCCAGGCCGAGGCTGCCCAAAGGCTCCGGCAGCTCCGGGCACAGCTCGGACCCCTCGGACAGGGTGAGATTCGGGGGAAAAAAATTTGGGGTTGGGAGCATTTGGGGTACGGGGAGGTTTGCTGAATATTGGGGGGGAAAAAAGCGTTGGGNTGTGTCACATAGGGACCCCAACGTCCTGCGGGTCCCCACACGTTCTGGTATGTCACCCACGTGTCCCCATGGTGTCCCCTGGGTCCCCGTGGTGTCCCCAACCCTTGGTGTCCCCGTGGTGGCCCCGTGGTGTCCTCATGGTGTCCCCTGAGTGTCCTCATGGTATCCCCATGGTGTCCCCTGGGTCTCCGAGGTGTCCCCAACCCTTGTGTGGCCCCGTGGTGTCCCCCTGGTGTCCCTATGATGTCCCCATGGTGTCCCCATGGTGTCCCCAACCCTTGGTGTCCCCATGGTGTCCCTGTGATGTCCCCATGGTGTCCCTGTGGTGTCCCTGTGATGTCCCCATGGTGTCCCCACCCCCCCGTTCCCAGCCCTGCCACTCCTGTCCCCCCTCTCCCTTCCCCACATTTTCTCCACACCCGGATCCGTTTCTCCCCTTTCCCTGTCCCTCATTTTCTCTATTCCCAACTCCCCCTTTCCCCCATTTCCCTCTCCCCATTTCCCCCATTTCCCCCATTTCCCCCATTCCCCACTCCCCATTTCCTCCTTTCCCCCATTCCCCCGCCCCATTTTCCCCATTCACTCCATTCCCATAATTTGTCTCGTTTCTCCCAATTTCCCCCATTTCTCCCAGGTGCAGGTCCTGGAGGCTGCCGGGCCCCTTCCCATTCCCCCTTTTTTCCTCATTTTTCCCCCATTTTTCCTACATTTCTCCCGTTTTTCCCATTCCAGGTGTGCTGGGCACAGGCAGGCGGCGCAGGCCCAGGTGCAGGCCCAGGTCCTGGAGGCCACGCGGCCCTTTCCCATTCTCCCTTTTTTCCTCATTTTTCCCCATTTTTCCCATTCCACGTGTGCCAGGTGTGGTACGAGACTGCCCAGCCCTTTCTTATTCCCCCGTTTTCCTCACATTTCTCCCCATTTTTCCCACCCCAGCTGTGCCGGGCAGGGCGGGAGGCGCAGGCCCAGGTGCAGGCCGAGGCCTAGGCCCAGGTGCAGGCCCAGGTCCTGGAGGCCGCCCGGCCCTTTCCCATTCCCCCATTTTTCCCTGTTTCCTCACATTTCTCCCCATTTTTCCCACTCAGGTGTGCCGGGCGCGGCGGGAGGCTCAGGCCCAGGTGCAGGTGCAAGCCCAGGTGCTGGAAGCCGCTCGCCGTTTGGCCTCGGTGCCGGGGTTGCCCCCGGAGCAGCGGCGGCGGCGGCAGCGGCTCCAGGCCGAGGCTGCCCAAAGGCTCCGGCAGCTCCGGGCACAGCTCGGACCCC